CATCAAAACAACTCATTAAACCTGCTATTAAGCTCTTCTATAGTGCCTCATCACTTCCTTGGTTTTTTTTTCAAGATTATTATCTTTATTCTCTATTTCTGACTTGGCCTGTTTGACTGACTTACTGTTCTATGTTTTGAAGTGCGTTCTCAGTTCACGGATAGCTAAGAAAGGTTGTGGGGGTGTCTGTGTCTACCACATTCTCTACTTTTTTGTTATATTTATTTTATTTTCGTATCTATGAAATTGATTTCAAATGGAAATAATTGTTATTGTTAAATTGACATGAGGTCTGTGCTGTTTGATTTTGTTTTCTGAAATTTTTGAAAGTGTGGGTACATATGAATTATATACATTATATTTTGTAACGTTAAGAAGCTTATAATAGATGAGAGTAAGGTTTGGATTTAAGTAATTATGACAATGTGTTAGGAAGTGTTGGATATTCTGAAAAATCTTGTTCATTGTTATAGTTGCACAATATCGTTTATACATTTAACTTATTTTCAGTGGGTTGGGAACTGGTAGATAAATTGAAGCAGTATATGTTTTTTAACTTTTTCATCTATGTTTGTGTTTTAATAATAAGTAATTAATGGCTGCTTGATTTTTTTAGTTTAGCTACTCGTACTTTTTTTTTTTTTTTAATTTTAATTTTTTTTCCAGTTATTGGTCAGGGCTGGGCTTGAACCCACCACCTCCGGCATATGGGGCCGGAGCCCTACTCCTTTAGCCACAGATGTGGCCCAGCTTCTCATACTTGTTTTAATTCAATGCTCAGAGCATTTATGGCTTGAGAAGTTGTACTAAGGGCCTTGATGATGGCACGGGACAATTTACTGATTTTCAGATTGAGTCCAAAAGCTAGTGTTGATATGACACAAATGGCTAAAATGGTGTATTTAGCAGGGTTAAAAAGGTGTAGTTGGCTATGATAGTTTTCAGGGAGTATAATATCTTAAGTTACTTTAGACTGGTTGGACTTAACAGTTTTGTAGCCAGGGTGGAAAAGGGGTTAATCTTAGTGAATAAGATTTCCCTGTGTTGTATGTAGCAGGGATGTACAAAAAGACCTGGATGCCTTAGAATAACTATCTTCGGGATAGCTTGGTGTCTCTATTGGCATAAAGTACGGAGGCAGTTAAGTTATATTTAAGTAAGGAATTATTAAGGTTAGTATATCAGAACGGGCACCTTTTAAACTTAATATACTTATGACTAGTAGTTACATTTTTCAGTTGTATAGCAAATAATATCCTTTTTTCTTGATAGTAGTGGTTGTTTTATAAGTATAAATATCTGAGTGTGGGGTAATCTTGTGGATATGTGGGAAAAGTATGAGATTACTCATGAGTTCTAGTGGGGTGCCCATCTCCATTAGACATGAAGGGAATGCCTGTTGTACATGAGGACTTCTAGTAAGACAGAAGTCAGATGTGTGTGTGTGTATTTTTTTTTTTCCAGACAGAGTCTCACTATGTCCCCCTTTATGGAGTGGATTGAGGGGCCGTTACTGTCAGTCTTTGAGCTTGCTTTACCGCAGTGTTGCCCCCTGGTTTTCTATTGGCAGAGGATTAAGTCTTTTGTGATGTCCTGGGACGTGCATGACTGCCACCTTGCAGGGAAGCAAGACAGCTTTTAATAGTTGTAAAACTTCTGAACTCCTTTTAATATCTTTGTTTTCTGTTGGTAGTAATCTTTTTTCAATATGGCATTTTGAGTATGAAGAATTAGGTAAGAAAATTTGGAGTCCAAAAAAACGTTTACTTGTTTTCTTTTTGACATTTTGTGTGTGTGTGTGTGAGACAAAACCTCAAGCTGTAGCCCTGGGTAGAGTGCTATGGCATCACAGCTCACTCAGCCTCCATCTGCTGGGCTCAAGCAATTCTCCTGCCTCGCGTCCCAAGTAGCTGGGACTACAGGTGCCACAACACCTGGCTATTTTTTTGGTTGCAGCCATCATTATTGTTTGGCAGGCCGGGCTGGATTTGAACCTGCCAGCTCAGGTGTATGTGTCTGGAACCTTAGCCCCTTGAGCCACAGTCTCTGAGCCATTTTTTTTTTTTTTTAACATTTTTAATGTCCTGTTTAGGACAATTAGTGCAGCTTTGGAGCCCGAAGTTTCTGGTGGAAGGGCTTTGATTTCTACCGGCCTTTCTGCAGTCACTGCTGTGTACCTTGCCCTTCGTGTTCCTTTTTCAATGAAACTGCTTCAGTCGGATTGCTTGGGCTCAGAAGTTAGAGAGCAGTCTGAGCAAGAAGAAGCCCCATTTCTTGTTAAGAATAGGAAAATTAGTGGGCGTCATGGAGGAGACCTGTAATGCCAGCTTTTGGGAGGCTAAGAGAGGAGAATTGCTTGAACCCAGGAATTTGAAATTGCTGGGAGCTATGACGCCCATTGCACTCTAGCCTAGGGCAACAGAGTGACACTCTGTCTCCCCCCAAAATAAAAATAAACTCAGGTACTATTAAAAGGTTAAAGAGTTTTATTCATTGGAAAGAATTGTAAAAATTAGTAATTGTAAAAACAAATTGTAGCTTAGGCATGCTGAGTGCTTTTGAAAATGGAAAGT